AGCATCAATTACATTCACAGACAGATAGTCATCCAGCTCTTTTTTTAAAATTCCATCCAAAATACAATTACACCGCTTTTAGATTTTTTTTACTAACTGTCTAATGATTGGATTTGACACAAGAAAACATTACAAGATGTCGCTCTCTTCATATTTGCATACCATTTTAAGGGTCGTGCCATTAGGTGATATAACTTTACTAATAAATCTAGTGATGGTATAAGCAAATGTGATAGTCATTTTGCGCACAGTCATTAAGCGAATGGCCAATAGGGATTGTTGGCCTGAACGCCAGGAGCTGGTTCCAAGGCGATATGCCTGCAACAAAATATTGGAACCAAGTCAATCTTTTCTTGTGAATAGAGTTAAGCAGTTTTTAATGTCCACCTGAGGATCAAAGCCGATGATACCTTGGTTTAACGGCACCTTTGACAATACAGACCCCCGGCCTCCACAAACCCCAGTGTTGGCGTTGATCGCAAACTGAAGCCAGACATGAGACAAAGTTAAAAGCTGAATTTCAGGCACTCCTCAGTAGCAAGCTCCTTCTATACATTTTACATAAAACAGTCTGTTTAATTCACGGACAGGTAACAGATGAGCATAATGGGTCTGGATTTGCCGTGAGTTAGTAAACCGCAGACATGATTTGACATCTGATGTGGATTTATAGTCATTACGAGGCAAGTGATTTGACTCATAGAAACCTAAACATTGTGGTGTCGTTTGCCTGCACAACAACATTGTGGAGTAAAATCAGTTTTCTTCAATGAAAAACGTTAACTTTTTGACACAAGAGACAATGACGACCCTGAGGCTCTTTCATCAGAGAAAAGCTTTCAGAAATGGTTCCCCCCACTACTCACCCACCCACATGAAAACTGGTGAAGAAGTGGACATGAATTCATCTCAGCTGGGAAGGTAAAGACACTCGGCCCTTTTTTCTCCAGTTTGCAATGACCACTGCATTTACAGGGGGGATTGGTAGAGTCTGGGGAACACCTCTTTTGCAGTGGCTGAGCCTGGGATTTTTCATATGCTTAATGGGAGCTTGTTCAGGCTGTGGTACTATAAACCTGTTATAATCTTTAACTTGTTGTGAGGATTAATTCCTTACATCAATAGGGTAATTAACAAGAACCTTTCCCTTACTTGGGACAAACATTACAAGGTGAATGGTATGATAAGAACCATTTATGATTTTTTTTATTGAATAACCATCAACTTCTACACACATGTCCATTAGAAATTCCAAGCCATCTGTCCTGGGCACTTTGACTTACAGATCAGTTTTTTTTAAAAATAGCTGATTGGAAAAAAATACAAAAGCCATTTTTGACACAACTATAAATTTTAACTGATAAAACGCTAATAAAAAAGAGTTTAAATCTTTCAACAGGTATGTAATGATTAAGATTCCTTCAGAAAGTTAAGATATTTAGGATTTTTATAAGTGCCCCAGCAAGACAATAGAATGGGAACAACTAGTTGCATAATTAATACACAAGCACTTATTTCTAGCAGGATTCAATATGCAAAGCTAGAGATGTGCGGGATATGAAGCATCATGTGGAAAAATATATGATTAGAACCCATATTTTTCCCTCCATCATTTCTCTGCAGGAGCTGATGGCAAGCAAGCAGCCAGGTGGCTAGACAGGGGAATGGTTCAGACTAGTGCTACTGAACCATAGATTTGCATGTGGCTCAGTCACCTCGGGTTCAGCAGAAAGCATGTCTCAGATAATTCCCACTAAAAAGTTCTCTTGCCAGCCTTTTTTGAATGTTCAATTGAAATAGTCGTCTAAAATAATACTTGTCTGAGTAAGGGCAATTGCACCGAAACTCTTTCCACGGTTCAGATCGACGCACATCTTTGAATCGACATTTTCTGCAACTGAATTCTGCAATTCACTTTCAAAGGAGAATCTCTCTTGACAAACGAAGGTTTGATGGCAGAACTGAGTTGTGTGTTTACGCAATCATTTTCATCAAATTTTCAGAAATTGGTTGAGTAAAACTGTCAAATCTCACACTGACATGTTTTGCTCTCATACTGCTACTATTTGCTTATGTTTGAGTTTTGCTGCTGTCTATGCAGTATTCTAGGTGTTGCATTTGCTGAAAAAGAGTATGACATATGAGTATGGCTTATAAATAAATCTTTCGGAGAAAATTCGTGACTGTTTTCCTTTTTGAGTCCGCTGTGGCTCTCACTGTTCTTCATGAGCCACACATAAGCATCAGCCTAAATCTGGGTTCAACAACACTGATCCACAATAGTAGTAGTTTTCTGGCCCCTTCCTCAGAAGTGTGATCTGCCACAGCAAAAAACTCAACTTACCTGGCTATTTCAGGCCTGCTAAGTCTCTATTCCTAAATAACGTTAAGAGAGACACCGTTGAAACATCATTAACTGATTTGCAACTAGATTCTTGCATTCTCTTACTCTACTGCCTCCGAAAATCCTCTCCCACGTTCATCTCTGACATCGCCACTCGCTTCGCTTCCCTCTGCTCCGACAGCCTCATCATCCTCGGCGACTTCAACCTCCGCTTCAGCCCCTCCTGTTCCATCTCCTCAAGACTTCTCTCTCCTCTCTCAACCCCTCCCTCCACATCCACTCTGCTACCCACACCCACGGTCACCCGCTCGACCTGGTGATCACCTGGGGCCTCAACATCTCGGATGTCACCATCACTGACAATGCCATCTCTGATCACCATTTCATCTCCCTCAATCCCTCTCCCCGCTGCCTCCCAATCTACCATCATCTTCTTCCACCTGTGGAAGAAGATCTCCCCACAATCCCTCTCTGCTGTCCTGGAGTCCTCTGATCTCCTCCCCCTGTGGCCCAACTCTCGCAACAACCCACTCGCTGCACTCACTCACTCTTCTCCACAGCACCCTCTCCACCACACTCGACGTCCTTGCCCCCCTCTCACCTCCCGAACTGCCTCCTATTCCCGATCCTCACCCTGGTTCACCAGCCACCTCCGCTTGCTTAAGGGCCAGGTGTGGCTGCCGAACACACTTGGCTCAAATCTGGCCTAACGGTCCACCGCCACATCTGGCTGGACCTCATCAAGACCTACCGCTCCGCTCTCGCCTCAGCCAAATCATCTTTCTATTCCAGGTTAATCCTGGAGGTGAAAGGCAATTCCCAGGCTCCTGTTCTCCACCACTAACTTCATCCAAAACTCTGCAGCTCGTGTACTCTCACGCACCAGGCTCCGTGACCCCATCACTCCCACCCTCACCCAACTCCACTGGCTCCTCATCCCTCAGAGGATCGAGTTCAAGAGTCGGGAAGCACTCTACAGGCTGGCACTCCAATGCAGTGCTCAGAGTGTGTTGCATTATTTGAGGTGCCATCCTTTGGATGAGAAGTTAAGCCAAGGTCCCATCAGTTTAAAGAACTTTTCAAAAAGAAACCTTCTCTCGGGGTCCTGGCCATCAATCCGCCAAATAAAATTTGTTACTCATTTTATGGCCATTTGTGGGACACTGCAGCATGCAAATTGTCTGCTTCATCTGCCTACAAAATAAACAGTCACTCCAATTTGAGATGTCCTCCCAAAGTGACATACAAGGACTATTTATTTGTGTGAATATATACATTTTGTCATGATTGGGAAGATGCGAGTTTCAATGCACTTGCAAGTGATGGCCACATTTTGTAAGGAAAATATTGCAAAGAGGGTCAGCGAAATGTATTACCTTATGTGCAGCAGGAATCCATCCCATATAATGAACCATATAAAAAGTAGAGGGTATTTTTGGGGAGCATGGGGGCTGGGGGGATTTAAATGTTTCTCTATATGACCCTGAAATGAGGATGCTTTTTTTTTAAGAAAGAAACAAGAAGCAGCATTACTCGAAGATGGAATGGAGGTTACGAGGTATACCATGGTGCAATAAGAGTGGACATCCTACAAACAATGGAGTTGATGGAAAATATATCAAACTCTGAATCTCAGGCTGCTGTCGAATTCATAATCAATTCAATCTCTTTGATGGCCCATTAGAGGCCCTGCAGCCAAACTATTCCATCAAAGTGGAGAACATTCCTCTCAAGCCAACACTTTTGATCAGTCATGCAGAACTGCACCGTGAGTCTGAAGTGTTACCCAAGGCTAGGTAACTGAAATTATATACCACAGCCATTATTTTAGACCTTTAGGTAAGCTCCCTCTCGTTACAAAGTGCATTTAAGACATTAAAAGAAATCTACACAACAGGTGCCATAGCCATTGTGTGTGAAGGCAGTCAGGGCTGACGAATAAGCCTAAGCAGCATGTGTTGAATTTATACTGGACAGTCTAGCGGTGAAGCAGCTTCCAGACTAAGACTGTAAAAATTCTGCCAATATTCTGGATGATCTTAAATTTTAAGACCTGGGCCTTAAGGCTAAGATGATGAAAAATATGGGATTTCGGTAACTTTAATAAGACTATGAATCAATCAGCCAAGGTCGACCGACAGCGCTCTGCTCACGTGTACAAATGTCTAACTCACAGAGCTCCGCTTTACTTGCTCTGGTCCCAGAGTGAGAGTGATGCAGAGCAGACAGCAAGATTCCAGCCTGCCAGCTAACAACACTCCACTACAAAATTCCCATCAAAAAATTGATGCCAATAAAATAATAAATATTAAATTGCTTAGAACAAAAACACATACCTAACCGAGTAGAGCGGTTAAAAAACTACTGACTGTATCCAAGTAACACATTTGTAAAAAATGTTCCAAGGTTAATAAATAGTGATGTTGTGCCTCAAAACACATCATCGTGCTTCAAATCCCATTGCTGCATTTGTACATTTTGAAGTACTCTGATTTTAAATTGGACAATTCAATTTCGGGATTTTGAAATTTTAAGTGAGAAAATGTCAGGGTCCTTAACCCAATTGCGTTATAAGCTGTATACAAACCAATGAGTTCTACTGTCTTAGAATGTAATTTACTAGATGAAAGAAATGTCTGGGTTCATTTTTCGGTACCTTGTGACCTCTTGCTGGAGTCTCGAAACAGTGGGGACGTAGAACATCACTCCAAAGAAGAGGAGAGGCTCATTGGCGAATTTGTCCAGTTGTTTCTTCAGAGCCTTTTCCAGCTCTACCCATCGTCCCTGTTGATTCTTACTCAGGAACCAAAGGCCAAAATAATGTGTCTGGAGGGAGAAACAGTGGTTATTAGATGGATTGCAGACATTCCTATACTTCGGATTGTCATTGCACAAGAAACTAAAACCGAAACTAGAAAGCAGCCAACAACCATCCTACCCACTTTGTTTACCAAGAAAAAAGGATTTACACTGCAACTAACCATTAAGGAAGTTAGTTCTTCACTTGATAACATCAAGATAACCAAACCTATGAAACAGACTAGTATCTTCTCACCATTTTTAAAGTACAAGCTGGTTTACTTAAACATACAAGTTTTGTGCATGTTATTTCACAAATCTGTTAATATTTAGCTTATTTTCAAGGTGAACTAAACAAAGATTCTCCTTTGGAATTGTAGTATTAGTGAGTACCTAATACTTTTTCTCTATCTATTATAATAATCCTTGCATTTGATACAGCACATTATTACATTAACATGTCTTCAATTCAGAGTTTTCTATAATGTGCAAATGTATTTGTAGGTGAACACAGCAGCCACTTTGTGCACAGCAATGTCCCGAAAACAGCCACGCAGTAAATGACCAGTTTTGTTTCAATTTAATTGAAGGACAGCACCTCTGATAATGCAACACATCCCCAGCGCTGCATTGAAGTGTCAGCTCGACTGTGAGCTCACAGTTCCAACATGGTGCCCACAAACCTCTGGTTCAAAAGGGTTACCAACTGAGCCAGAGTGACACATCCAAATCATCAAAATATCGTGTCAAAATGGCAAATTGCCAGATTTCATAATCTCTCTTGGAAGAAACAATCTACTGAAGGTGAGCTAATCTTTAAAATGTCAGTATTGCATTGACGGTTAAGTCGCAAATGACCTCTTAGCTAAACATTCATCTACTCTTTAGACGTAAAAGCAAAATATTCAGATTTCAATTTATAAGAGACATTGTGCAAGATTTTACCACTGCAGTAAACAGACGATATCAGTACATTGTATGACCACTGACTTACATAATAAGGCAGTCAGGGCAAATGTCTTGTATATAAACAAGAAACAAAGATAGGAAATGACCTCAATGAAAGACAACAATAATTTAAAAATGGGGCCATTACATTTTTAGTTTGTTATAGTTTCCAACATGTAGACCAAATGGCCCCATTCAGACAATCTCCTCTTATCTCATTTATCAATGTTACTGAGGCTTGAAGATCTGGATGAGATTCAACATGAAGACACACACGCGCACACGCACAGCCTGACACACACACACGCACATCCCGGATGAAATTATTTTGCTGTCCACATCCAGGCGTCAATCTCTTTTTAAAAAAAATAAAAGCCTAAAGATTGCAGTAAAGGTAACTACAGTTCAACAAACCCTCAGGAGATCACCAAGCTCTCAATTAACTACACCAAGCAGTGTGTGTGTTCATTATCAGTGCACGTTCACATTCACAGACAACTTAAAGCACCAAACTGAAAGCTAATCACCTAAAAAGCTAATACTTTGATAAGACTCCATACCATCACCAATTTTCCAGAGGCTGGCAAAAAATAATGCTGTAGTAGAAAAATAAAGACCATCCATTTTAATCATCGCTGCTGGTATAATCAGGATTGCACATGTGTGCAATTTAAGCAGTTTTNAAAAAAATCTCATTCTGTTCAAAATATCCAAATTTTTGAAAACAACAACAAATTAATTTGTATAGCACCTTCCACATCGGGGGGACAGCCCAAGGTGCTGAACGTAGGGGTAACCAGTATCACAGAACGTAAGGTCACCTTGATCATCTCTCCTGACAGGACATTAACCATTCCTAAGTGAAGCACAAGTTCAAGGTTTTTACTTGGTCCAAAATAAAAGGGACAATCTTTGCGTGCTCGAGCAAGATATCTCCAGCATGGCGTGTAACTCACACAGAGCCCGAGCAGTGGAACTTGCACTGCAGCCCAGATAAAACATCTGTGCAATCAGTCTGCAGCTGAAACTTCGGGGTAAGGTCACTATAACTTTGCAGCAAAACAAATTACACAAAATAAGAATGAAGAAAGAAAAGTGGCTGCATTATTAAAACCGGTTGAGGACAGAAATCTACCTTTTTGAAGCCTGCAGTAATATTCTTTCAACAAGTACACCTGTCCTACCTGCCTGAATTAATGACACGACAATGGTGTCCATTCTGTTTTTCCACAAAAATAAATTCCAGGGAGTTTCCCCGATGTCTCATTTGCTGACACTCACTGTCTGGGACCACAAATGAAACAACGGCCACTTAGGCGAGACATTATAAAAACAGCAGGTTAACAAAGTAGCCAGCATTGATGTTGACCGTGGAGCAGTCTGATGTCTAGACCAGTACCCAATCTCAGGTGGTCATGTGTAATATTACAGACGTCTTCCACTAAATATTAACAGACAAATAATATTTCTATTTGAAAGAGAATGGAGGGGGGGGGAAAGGATCAAACACACACTAAATACTAACATGAGAAATCACATTTTAAACAGAATGAAAGGATTACAAGCGATAGTATCCAGGCCAACCTGCTATGCACAATCGAGCACCTCTGTTCTCAAGGCTGTTTGCTTGTCTAGTTGTTTGGTTGATCTCTCAGCTCCTCAAATCCCACCCCCCCCCCCCCCCACCCTTTAGGGTCATCTACAAACGTAACTACCGTAATCCTTGCATTTGATATAATGCCTTTCACATCAGGAGGACGTCTCAAAGGACTTCACAGAATGTACTGTGAGGGTAATGACTGTGTATATTGGGGGTGAACACGGCAGGCAAATTTGTACCTGCAATGTCCTATGAATAAAATAATCTTTTCATGTGACATAGTCCTGGATCACATCGTTGAGACGTCTCACCGTGCTTTACGGTATATACTGTAAAGTAGATTGACTGTATTTTGTGGGCAAAACACGCAAAGCACAGCAGCAAATTAGCACACGGAAGTGTTCCAGACAGCCATGAAGTGAATCTCCAATTTTATTTGGGGGATTGTTGGCCAGGACACCCGGAGAAACTCCCTTCTGTTTTCGAGCAGTACCTTGGGATCTTTAACTTCCACCTGAACAGGCAGAACGAACCTCGGTTTAACATCTCATCCACAGCACCTCCTTCTCAATATGACCCCTGAGGCACTCTCTTTAATATCACCCACATTACCTCCAATCGTGTAATCTCCCCTTACTTCCTTTTAACATGTTTCTAAACCACATCAAGGTCTTACCTTTGACGCCCAGTAACACAGTTTGTAAGGAGTCTCTTTTGTGCTTCTTTGTCAGAAACCTTTTGAAAGTTTAGCTACATTACATCATATGGCTTCCTCTCACCTACCTACCCCTGTTAAATTGGGCTGTCACCTCTACAAAGAAGTCTTGAAGTTGGCCAAGCAAAATCATTACCTTCTTAAGGCCACTTCAGCAATCATTCATTTATTGGGTTATTGTCAATGGACAGTCATTAAGTGAACCAGGAAACAGCAAATGCCTGGGGGTACACCTCAGTGTTGGGTGGAGGAGGAGTGGGTGAAAAATAAAACAAATGGAATGGAAACCACACGGCCTGCCCGATAGCAACTGTTTCAGACACTCCACATACCTGTAAAATACTGGCTGGCTGCTCCCTGAGGCTTTGGACACTTACTAATGTTATGCATCAGCAGTTGCAGTTTCATAACAAAAATAAAGGGAATTTTATACTGTACTAACTCATGTTTGGTGTAAAAGATGGTGAGATAATGTCACTCCAAAAATATACATCTTCCCCATGTGAACAACAACTCGCATTTATATAGCACCCTCCATGCCGGCCGGTGTCCCAGAGCGCTTAACAATGGTGGAGCCCGATGCCAAGCCGGGGAAGGTGACCATAAGTACTCTGGGAGTCCATGTCAATGTAATGTCCTAGTCAAATTCCAGGATATTCCTGAAGAGAGAAGAGTTTCCTGGCCAAAGTGTCAGGCCAAAGTGACAGTGTCCTGGCCAACAATTGCCCTATTCACTTCACTTCATGGCTTTTTTTGTGTGCAAATTGGTTGTAGCTGTTTTCACTACAAATACACAGTCACTACAGTTGACAGTAAATCCTGTGAAATGCTTGTGGCATTAACATCATGATGTCTCTGGATGCAACAGTGCAATCACATTTATATTTCAGCAATGCTTTGTGCCCATGTGTGGGGGGATTGGGAGGAGAGGGGGTGCTTAGGTAAGTTTAAAGAGATATGATTTGAGGTGGAACTTAGACAGAAAGAGAGGGAGGGAGTTCCAGAGGTTAGGCGTTAGGTGAAGGCTCAGTCACCGAAAGTGACACAGCAAGAGCGCAGCAAGCCTAAGTTAGAGCGGAGGAGTAAGGCAGGAGAAGATTGGAGAGATAGGGAAGCAGCTGGATTTGTAGACAGGGATGAGGACCCTGAATAATAATCTTCCGGTAGACAGGGAGGCAGCAGTGCCTGGCGAGGACTGGGGTGATGGCCGTGTGAAGTGTGGGGGAGAATGTGGGTAACGGAGTTTTGGATTAGTTGCTGCTTGTGAATGGTAGAGCAAATATGCTGACTCACTGGGTGGGTGCAAGTCTATCCATTAGGTTTACCACCCAATGAAGCAATTTGGTTTAAAAAAAATAAAACCCGGGGTATTTAACACCCATTTTAATAGTAACAATAATCCTTGCATTTGATACTATGTCTTTATGCTTCGCAGGGCTTTACTGTAATGTGTAGTGACTGTGTAATTTGTAGGCGAATTGTTAACATAAAGTTGGTCATCGATCAAACCTCAACACGGCAAGCTTCACGTAATAGTGTATAAAGTTCGCCATGTTGAAAACTGATAAATAATGCAATTCCACCATCATTTCTGAAATTGCTAAACAAGTGTGACAGCATTGAGGAGGATGTTATCCAGACAGATTGCTATAGTAACAACATCAGCGGTCGTAAACAGTCACAAATATTGTGCTATCCTCCTCCCTCTCCACAGACCTCTGAAGCATTTAAGGGGAGTAAACCACATTTCAGCAAGCTGGCTTTTGTTTTAACTGCAGAGAATCAAACTCAAGTAATGAAAATCTTTTGGCATGGGTTCAGACAGAGATGGAAAGAATTTTTTTTATGAAATGATTGGTTGCTCGAAAACATTTACGTGGAGATCAGCTTCAGACAGGAATGCAGTGATGTGCTGTGCGTGCCCTGAACAACCTAGTGACAATTGCAGCAGAACGTTCGACAATTAATTAAAGCAGGAGAATGGATACAAGCTGCGACATGCAAGTAAGTCAGGTTCCTCTTTAGAAGTCATAAACAACTTGTCTGAAGCACTGTTAAGTATGCAGGTATAATAATTGTACAATACTAAGCACCGTAGAAGGAGGATTAGGGCCATAATTAGTCACCAGTGTAGCAACATGCTGCACGTTAGGCATTATTGCTTCCATAGCCTCCCAATGTGAACGGTTACATTATCTATGTCTACACGATTCTGATTTAGAATTAGAACTGGATTAACACAGCTCTGCTTGCTCTCCTTCAGGTCCAGCAATGAGTCACCAAATGTTTCCTGTGTGGTCTACTGCGTTTACAACATGCTCATAAAGTTGTTGTACTAAAAATACCAACCGCTATCAAAACCTCACGATTTACTGTGATTGCTTTTGTTTGTCTACCAAGCCACACACAAGATGACGTATTACATCCTGTAAAAGCAGAGCAATTCTGTGCAATGTGCGGCATATTTATCAGGGCTGACGCTCCTGTAGCTTCAGGTTAACCAGAGAGTTTGCTCAGTCTCAAGCAAACTGGCTCCCTGATGCCTTCAGTAACTCGAACAGTCAGATAAGTCATGCTATAGAGCATGAAAAAGGCCTATGGCTGCACCTGCAAAATAAGATAAATCAATTAATGGGCATAACTATATTTTGTGAGGGAGATTAAGGAAAGGAAGCATTTGCTAAATGGTATCATTTTAAAAGAAATAGAAGAGCAAAAAGCCCTCAGGATTAAAATACAGTGCATACATCTTTAAAAGGTAGGAAGGCACGTGGACAAAGTGTCAAAGAAAGCTAATGGGATGGATCGTAGAATATAAAAACAAAGAGATGATGCTTAAAATGTACATGTACAGAGCAAAAAGGTGTGATACCATTACAATATCTAATAAAGAAATGTTTTTTTTTAGATAATAGGGTAGATATCACAACTTTTTTGGTCACCCTGTACAAGTCGTTAGTTAAACCGCAGTTAAATTACCTGTATCCAGTTCTGGCCACCCCATTTCTGAAGGATGTCAGAGCCATAGAGAAAGTGCAGAAGAGCTTTACTGGGATGATACAATGGTTTCATATATGAGCAAATATGAAGGAAATGGTCCTATTTTCAATGGAACAGAGAAGACGGAGGGGAGAGAGGCAATAGTTGCATTTAAAATTATGAGGGGTTTTGATAGTTAATAACTGCGAGGCATCAATTTAAGATAATTAGCAAAGAAAGAGATTAAGTTTTTATTTTACACATAGATAGTTGATAATACGTGGAATGTTCTGCTGGGAGTAATATTATGTATTATATTATTTAATTTATTATTAACTTCAATTATTCTTAATTTGCAGTATATTTTGTGAAGCTCTTTGAGACATCTCAACGACGTGATAAGGCATATTCAGTGGTTAAAGCATTCACCTCGCAAGCGAGAGGACTTGTGTTTGATTCCTGACAGGGCGAAACGTTGGGCAAGTTTCCATTCTCCACACACCTCTGTTTACCCAGCAGTAAGTAGGAACCCAGTTGTTAGTCGATTGTCGGATCACTTTTCTGGGGATAATAATTCCTAAAAAAAATACTGAATTGGTCACTCAATCCATGACTGTTTGTGGGACGCTGCTTTGCGCAATTGGCTGCCTTGTTTCACCCACAAAATACAGGCAATTCACTTTATAGTATGTTCTGTGAAGCGCTTTGAGACGTCTCAAAAATGTGAAAGGACGCTATATCAAATGTAAGGATTATTATTATCAAATGCAAGAATAATGATGATTATTATTATAATGGTCGAGGCAGCACCCATATTAGTTTTCAAAAGGGAACTAAATGGGTAACTAAGAAGTACTGTAATTTTACTGTAAAGGGCAGGTAAATAGAACCGAATGGATTACTCTTTCAAAGACCCAGTGCAGACATGATGGTCTGAATGACCTTATCCTGTGCTATAAATAGAAATCCGCAAACTCATCTCCATTTAGAAAAGATCCCATTTTGTCACCAAAAGAGATTCATAAAGTTCCTGCCATAAATATGCAATTGTTGTTATGATTTCATGCAATATAATACAATACAAAATTACATTTATAAAGCGCCTTTCATATTGGGAGGACGTCCCAAGGCGTTGTACAGTCAGGGATTAGGACCTAAACTGGGGTGGGGCAGGGGGGTTGGAATCAGGGAGGGTGGAGGGCAGGGAAGGTGGAGGGCAGGGAAGGTAGCCGAAGGCACTGGGTCTTGAGGCGTGCCATAAAGGAGGCAAAGGAGGGAGCGAGGTAAAATGGGGCAGGCCGGGCGGGGTACATGGAGCAATCTTTGTGTAAGGATATTTGATTCAATGAATGTTTCTGCTAAAAAAAAACACAGCACTCGATGCCAAGGGGAATTTTTCAAAGTTAATTCCGCATGTTTGAAAAAAATGCATTTACAATGCTTTTGAGAGTATGTATGTTCATCCAACCTGGCCATTCACATCAACAAGGCTATTGTGGTAAACAGGAGGTTCACATCACCAATATTGACATTTAATTCAAGCTGCCTTATTATAACAGAGGGAGTGCAAACTGATTACATTAACTCATTGGTTACTTTTTGACCAATCTTAGAGAATACTTCTCAAGTCTTCCCTCCCCCAACAAAAAACATTCTTTCAACATTAGCATACAAAAAACAAGAACCTGCATATAATAGTTACTGCTTTCAATTTGTCCATTTATGGAAAAGCGCTAATCTGAAATGCAAGGATTATTATTTTACTTTAATAATGCTAAACCTTGAAGCTTTAGGTTTGTTTTATGCCAGTTGCATTAGGCTGACTTGTACTGATCAATTTGGCCAAATCAAACACATCTGTTAAAAATATTCTTTAATCTACGATATCCCAGCACTATTATGTGGAAAGAAAGCCTGGAGACGTAGAGAGGCAGAAAAAAAGGCCATCTTAATTCAATTCGCGAAATACTAGCAAAATATTACAACATGGTGACAGTCAACAGCCTCACTGCACACACGTCATTAGCAGATCGTTACTATTACACTGACGGTGTGAATTCCATGTGTTTAAGTGAGGAAGGCATTGAATATTCACCATTGCTCGCTGCCAATGGAAATATCCTCTGATTAAAAGATAAACATGCAAACAGAACCAGCGGAACAGGATCCATGATCACACCATTTGTAACGAGATTATATTTAGAAACCTATGTTCCAATTCTCCTATAAAGCACTCGCCTCTCAAGTGAGAGGACCTGGGTTTGATTCCCAACAGGGTGAAACGCTGGGAAAGTTTCCTTACTCCACTCGCCTCTGTTTACCAAACAGTAAGTAGGAACCTGGTTGTTAGTCGATTGTCAGATCGCTTTTTCCTTCAATAAATAATCATAATAATAACTTGGTCACTCAATCCACGACTGTTTGTGGGACGCTGCTCTGCGCAATTGGCTGCCGCGTTTCCCGCACAAAATATACAGTCAAATCACTTTACAGTGTATTCTGTGAAGCGCTTTGAGGCGTCTCGAAGACGTGATAAGGCGCTATATCAAATGCAAGGATTATTATTATTATTCCTATATCAATGTCATCAGACTCAATGTTAAGGCAAAGTGGTTCACAAAAACGTGAGAACTTTTCTGTCCTTATGACAACAACAAAATTACATTTATAGAGCACCTTTCACATTGGGAGGACGTCCCAAAGTGCTGAACAGTCAGGTGAGAATACTATTAAAATAAATCCTGCAGATGAAAGTGGTCATTCACTTCATGGCTGTTTGTAGGACAATGATGTGCAGAGCGAAAACCTGATCATGTACATCATTATAGTTAATTTAAAATTTCAGACAACTTGAATTTAAAACACCCTGAAACAATCAAATATTTTTAATCAAACTTATCAGTAAAGCAGTTTTCAGTTGCAATAAATTTTCTACCACAGGTACCAACTGAAAGATGACAACTTTTTTTTATACTCTATTAAATATTCACTGTATGAATTCGCAAAATTGGTAGAAAGGACGTCCCAAAGTGCTGGACAGTCAAGGTAACAAGGTAACATGAAGCAGAAGACAGCAATATAATAGAATTGTTCTATTCTTTTTGTTCATGTACACCAAAGTTTCTCAATGCTTTTCATCAAATAATTCCCACTAATGTAAACATGCTGATGTTGGTAATTCAGTGCGTTATTACTTTACTAAAAGTTTGCTGGTAAGATATTTTAGCACATCTCTTATCAAGTGCTCAAAAATCATGCCTTCAACTCATTTCCGGGGATAATAATCCCTTCAAAAAAAAATAATTTCATCACTCAATCCACAACTGTTTGTGGGGACGCTGCTGTGCGTAATTGGCTGCTGTGTTTCGCCCACAAAATATAGTTAGTTCACTTCACAGTATATTCTGTGAAGCGCTTTGAGACGTCTCAATAACATGATTAGGCGCTATATCAAATACAAGGATTATTATTTCCCACTTCATTTTAATCCATTCACATTACCTCTCGCAGCTCCAGGCGCTGAGCCACAGCCTCCAAGCATTCCTGACCCGTACTCTCCACGGACAGTGTGCACTCGATGACATTGCTGTCCAGCAATCTGATGCGGGTCACAAAGCAGTTTTTGCTTAGTACATTGTATCGTCTGGTCCTTCTCAGTTTCAGTCTGAAAGGCATGGCTGATCAGCCTCGGAAGCTGCTCCTTTTTCGGAACTGAATCCCCTGAAAGAGGTTGGCAGTTGTTTCACACTCTTCGCTCTGTGCCTTGACTTTCTCCAAAGGGGGAAAACAGTTGTCCCACTCCCGGTGACATCGAACTATCTGTTGCGTCCTGTAAATAATGAGATTGGGTGAGTCATTTTAGGTTAAATAGAATTTGATTGAATGTTTCCATCAAAAATATAAACGCAGTTCAAGATGCTTGTGGCAAGACCTCTCCAATTCCTTTCTAGAATGGAAGTAGGCATTACGATTTTTTTCATCAGGTAAACCCACAAGCAATTATAGAATATTTATAGAAAGAGTCACCAGTTCATGAGGTATGCTGTGCAAACACTTTGATTGACAGTTGTACTATATTCCAATATTTGAGAAGCTACAGGAGGCAAGCTAGTGGGCTCTACCACAATGAACACTTGGAAGGTGTAACTTTTACCAAGTGTTCAATCAGATCTAACAAAATCAGGAGGACAGTGAAATACAATAAAAACAGGCCGATTATCATGGAGTCAAAAGTAGACTTAATAACATGGAATCCAATTACAATAAACTCAGGAATATAGAAACCTCCATTTGTAGAGGAAGAAATTCCAACGTCCTAATCCGCTTAGCAAGTAACAGACTGGAATAGCATTTCAGTAATAATGGAATTACTGGTTCCTTGTGGTGAAACTCTTGCTTTGTAGTGAACGCAGGAGCAACAGAGCACCTCTAGAGAAGAGGAACTCGTTTCCAGTCAGTCTTTGCCTTTAATGCCTCGGTCTGTGTCTTCAATGTTCTCTTCATAGCAGCAAGTGTGTTCCTTTGTAAATTGAAGTTTTCTACATGAGTTTATTACAATTAGCTTCCATTTCATAAATAGAGGCCAAAACACAATTAACATTATTCAATATTTCAGCTCTTATTTGTTAGTGGGGGGTGGGAGGTAGGGGCATGGGTGATGGAGGCGAATAATGTTGTAGAGTTGAGGAAAAGCACACTAAAAGAGAGCCCAGTTGGATGACACAAGGGTCATTATCCTCACTTGAAAAGGTTTTGACCACTTCACCCCTGCTCTTATAATTAAGCCTTTTGCTCTATTTACCTTTACCTTCTCCGTCTGAGAAATGTACATTCCCAACACTAAAAGCGATATTTTAAAGACCCCAATACCTGGTAGTCTATCTACTGCAGAATGTTGCCGATAAAAGGTTTTTATTAATATAATGTCCACTCCCAGGCTGTACCATGTTACTGGGCATTCCAGTAAGAGCTCTAATGGTCATCTGTAATCATCTTAAAATGAGGGCTTAATGCTACATACATTGGATTCTTTCCCTTAGACTGAAGTCCATTATTGGCTAAGGGATTCCAGAAATCTATCAGCGTAGCAAGACATTTTTTTTCTAACTTACTCCTGCCAAGACAGATTTTGATCTTCAACATTTCACACTTGTTTGAAGATCCATTCAAATATGAAGTAAGGCTTGGTTTCTACATGCCCAGAAATGTTTTCATTTGTTTGCCCCTCTCATTGCCATCAGCAAATTGGAAACCCAGGAATTTCAAACCCAGGGATAGTGCAATAACCGACTGTGTCATAATGAGGGCATTCACCTTTGAGAACTGAAACATTTACACTGATTATTATTATTGATGTGTAACGAGATAGCCTGAGGAGATTCATGTCTAAAGAATGCAATGTAACAAGATGGATTTCCTTCAGAAATGAGGGAATGGGGCGGGGGGGAGAAAGAGCGAAAAGAAAGTAGGAAATTGTAAGCAGAATACCAACTGTTCTATGATTTTCATGGCCTACCTGACCAACCGAAGGGATTGTGTACGTGGTGTCTAACACTACAAGAGGCAAGTAATACAAGTTAACATGCATATCCCTTTCGGCCAAAGTACAACAAACTGATAATGTGTAATGTTCAAAATTCCCTACTGGAAGTACAATTCTCCAATAAGGTCCAGGGTTTGAAGGCTCTGGGGGACAGATCAACAAGTCTTGAATTAAGTCCAGCATTTCTAACTATGTCAGCGTCACCTTCAAAGGAATATTAAGGCATAGCGCTCCCTGGTGAGCGGTGCTATACAAATGCAAGTTGTTGTTATATTGTCTCCATTTACCAGTTTGGATTCAGCACGCAGAGAGCATATCACTGTGTGACTGTCACAGTAAACATTGCTTTCAAAATATCACAACAGCCAAATCACAAACAAACACCCACACACACACACAAACTCTTTCTGTGTTGCAACAGATACAACATTCCACAGCACAAACATTCTTCAGCAATCGGCAGGAGAGACATTGACGAAACCAAGCCTTGTCTTTTTAAAAACAAATGAAAATCACCTCTTCAGAAAGATCTGAAGATCTTAACTGATCTCAACTAAGGCATCAGCTGAGACTTACAATTGGCCTTAACGCCCTAGGGTAAGATGAAGAAAGAGTCCATATGTGGAGACACTGAGTGAGAACAAGATCAGAATAGTGTACAAAACAATAATTCCATTGGGTCGAATCAGAACATCCAACATGTTAGAGGTCACGTCGGCCATCAGCCAGCAGTGTCAAGCGCTTTAGGACGTCCTCCGACTTGTATATTCAGAAACATTTAGAATCAGTGTCCTGTTTCCAACCCCAATCCCTACCCCCAAAAAACAAGTGTCAACACTTTCAATTTTCCTATTGTCAATCATCAACCTGCTCGGTAGACTCAATGAGATTGCAATCAAATTCACCAAAGCCTTACATTTTTATACACAGATCAGTAAATTCCTCTGTTCAAAAACACATTTCCTCCTCTTTCTCCTCCCCCCCACCCACCCCACTTGAGGACACTTAGGAGATTGGTTACCCAAAGAAGCTGTGAATGATTGCTTCTGTAGAAAGTCTCCTCACAAACACAATGTAAATCTAATGTTCGCGCAATTGTGGGACCTAGGCCAGATCAATTGACAATTCAGTCCGATGCCCTGAGACCTTAAATAATGTGGCAACTCAGCAACACGAGTGAAACTGATGCCAAGAATATGGGGAGACCCAAAACCCGAAACCTTTACAACGGTGTGGACTGGCGGTTTCCCATTCTTGTGAACCGATGTCCAAATCAAACACGTTTCCCCACAGCATGAAGATTTTCATCAAGCCAATTCTACTTGAAACATCAATCTTCATTTAGCAGCAGCTTCATAAATCCAGAGAGAAAAAAAATCAACCAAACAAAGCCAGTGCCTAATTTCTGGATCTTTGGCAATCCATGCCAGCCTTCCTCCCCCTGCCCACCCCCATATATTACTGTATTTCTTGGATACGATCAAACAATTTTTTTTACCGGGGGGGAAAAGAAAAGAAAAATAATGCAATTGCAAATATTATTCGTGCCTGTTCTTGTTGTACCTTCTGCTGATGGAATGCTGCTCTGGATACAGTCCAGCATTCCAGTTAAGGCAAAACAAAATAGCAACTGAAGGTAAGTGTCTTGGTGTAATCCCGAGGCAGGCAATTTCGAAAGGGCAACCTGCATGACCAAAAAATAATGATAATAATAATCCTTGCATTCGATATAGCGCCTTATCACGTCGTCGAGACGTCTCGAAGCCCTAGGCTGACACATAATGTTGAGGGAGTTCTGCATCGTTAGAGGTGCCCTGCTGCAGATGAGACGTTCAACTTAGTGCCTATTCCAGTGGGTGATAAATTCGCCTGACGCTATTTGGAAAGTGAGCAGCTTCTCCCGGTGTCCTGGCCAACAGTCCGCCAGATATAATTGGTCACTCACTTCATGGCTGTTTTTGCGCAAATTGGCTGCTGGGTTTTCCTACGAAATATGCACTCACTACACTTCCAAGTAAATCCTGTGCAAAATGTGATTTGAGATGTCCTTCTGATTGAAAGGCCCAAGAGAAGAGTAAATCATATTGTAAAGCTCTATATCACATCCCAGGATTATTTATTTATATAATGGATTACTATTCTCACTGCAGAAGGACATCCTGTGCTTCTCTCACACACCTCCAGCTCACAAGAAGCATTGACGGAGGCTTGGCAGCAGATCAGCTTGCCATCTATTTTGACACGACAATAGGATAAAACTCTGGAACTCTCCCTCAATCCCTCTGCCTTGCCCCCTCCTTCCTTCCCCATTTTCAGATCGTGCCTACAATCACCTTCCCCTCCCTCCAGTTCCGAGTCAAGCTCCACCATTGTTAAGCGCTCCAAGATGCTACCCCGCATGAAGGGCGCTACATAGATGCAAATTGTTGTTGTTGATAAAAAGCATGTCATGTGGAGAGCTAACTTGAGAGGCAGAAAAAAGTCATGTGGGCCAAACTCAAGGGCACAACTGACAATGCCAGTCAGATAGACTGAAGGAAATGGTTCTACCTTCAGGCCTTGCCCCCGCAAAGCACCCTATATTCTCCGCAATTCAATGCTCTGCCTGTAACTCAAATCAATGCATTTATACTGAGTTGCACTGGGTGGGAAACGAGAGAACTAGTAAATCACACTCTGAAATAAAGGCAACAATTACCACTTAAAAAGTTCTCAATGGATACTTAGCATTACTTACCACCGACTCGGTGATCACAAATGGCTCCTACTCACCGTTTTCATACTACAAACACCTTGAAAAATTTAAACTGCTCATCTCTGGAGGGAAGCACTGCATATCTGGATAATGAAATCAGTGGGTATATACACACAGCTTATAGCATCTGCAGCCAACTGAGGAATCACACCACTGTTGGGAAACTCGGATTACAGCGCTTTGACTACAGCACCAGTGTAGGAATTCTGGGAAACTTACATTTCTTAAAACCTTCCATCATCTCTTCAGTTTTTGGGGGTGATTAATGGCGCGTTACAGCACAATACAGAGCTTTTCTGCACTTCGTGGAAATAGTTTCCACAGACATGCCGAATCCAACAAATTGCTTTTGAGATTTGTAGCCTTTTGTCATTTTTACTTACCATGGGATTGAATTGGAAAAGCTCTTTTCAAAGAGCCAGAACAGACACAATGGGCCAAATGGCCTCTTTCTGTGCTGTATAATTCTATGTTGATCTGGCCTATTTTCTGTCACTACTTGGGACATTTTCTCCTGGTAATTGTATAATAA